TGCCCCAAAGAAAAGGGAGTCAAGCTATTCTCCAAAGCACCAGAAGGCAGGACAAGAAGCAACGGATGGAAACTAATCAAGGAGAGAAGCAACCTAGAACTAAGGAGGGATTTCCCAACGGTGAGTACAATTAATTATAAAAAAAAATCAGCCTTCAAAAGTTGTGGGTGTTCAATCACCGGATGTTTTTAAGAAAAGATTGGACAGTCTTTGATCCAGAATGGTATAGGGTCTCCTGCTTGTGCAGGGGGCTGGACTAGAAGACCTTCAAGGTCCCTTCCAACTCTGTTAATCTGTTAAAACAACACAGCAAAAATAAAATGTCGTAAAATCAGAATGCAACTTAACAGCTGGACTCGTGATCATGATTCCAGGCTCAGTTATGGTCCTAACTGAAGGATAACCTATTAAGAAAGCTCTCAGCCACGTAGATTTGAGATCAGATCTTCAACCTTGCCAGCGGATGAGATAGAATGCTTTTATTGTCATTGCATTCCACGAATACAATGACATTTGAAATCTACTCCAGCACAGTGCCCCAAAAACCACATCACAATCACACTAACAGAGTATTTAAACATTAAAATAATAATAATTATTATTATTAAAACCTAGTCTAAAACCCATCTAAAACATTCAGTAAGTTAAATAGTTTAAAAATGCCACTGTATACATAGGACTAAATCACAAATGCACTGTTTGAATTCAAGACAATTACTGCCTTGGAAAAGAAATCTATTAGTCCTCGTTTTAAGACACCTATAACGTCTCGTCCAACCTCCTGAGCACCTTTCCCCATCGAGTTCAATCACAGCCGGTGGAGTTCCGACAGCTCTTGGGAACAATATTGGCCTTCGCCTTCCCTTCTGGTCCCCCATTTAATATTGCTAGTGTGCGCAGCTAGCGTGACTTTGCAGGAGTGTGCGAGATGCCTCCCCGTTGCTTAGCAACAAGACTGGATGGAGATGCAGGAATCGTTTTGCTTCCAGCAATCTCCTTCAGACTATTCTTAGACCTCCCTGTGGTTTCCACGAGAGGTTCGGGGCCACTTTTTCGCTCCCTGCATGGAGTTTTCTCATGGCACGTGCCTTCGCGAGGTTTGGAAGTTGACCCAAATGTCACCAACCATTAATTCAACCCAACAGGGCATCGTGGAACAAGCTCCTCCAATTTCCCAGGCTCACGAGACTGGATGAATACAGGTAAGTCCTCGACTCACAACGGAAGCCCAACATTTCTGTCGCCAAGCAAGACGTTCGTTAAGTGAGTTTTGCCCCATTTTGACCTCCTTTCTTGACATCGTTGCTCAGTGAACCACTGCAGTTGTCGAACTAGGATCGCGGTTCTTAAGTGAATCTGCTTGTCAGAAGGTCGCAAAAGGGGATCACTTGATCTTGAGACACAGAGCAACGGTCGTAAGCATGAACCAGTTGCCAAGCCTCTGAATTTTCAACCCATGATCACAGGGATGCTACAAGACGTTAAGAACACTCCATCAGATGAAGATATAATTCAGAAAATATTGGACTGGGCAGAGATGGATAGATTGACATTGAAAATAAAAGACAAAGGACATACAGAATATTACTTAACATGGAATAGATTCTATGAGTGGTTGGAGATGAGAGGTAGATATTAGATGAGGAAAGATTATTGCTATGTATAAATTAAACACAAACATGGTTTATAGCAACAGCACGTAGACTTATATACTGCTTTATAGTGCTTTCCAGCCCTCTTTAAGCCGTTTACAGAGTCAGCCTCTTGCCGTCAACAATCTGGGTCCTCATTTTACCCATCCAGGAAGGATGGAAGGCTGAGTCAACCTGGAGCTGGTCAGGACTGAACTGCTGACAGTGGGCAGAGTTAGCCTGCAATACTGCATTCTACCCACTGCACATGACGGATGGACGGAAGGAAGGAAGGGCAATAGCAATAGTGCTTAGACTTATATACAGCTTTACAGTGCTTTTACAGCCCGCTCTGAGCGGTTTACAGAGTCAGTATAATTGCCCCCAACAATTTGGGTCCTCATTTTACCCACCTCGGGAAGGATGGAAGGCTTAGTCAACCTTGAGCCTGGTGAGATTTGAACCGCCAAATTGTCAGCAGCTGGCTGCAGCAGAAGTAGCTTGCAGTACTGCACTCTAACCATTGCGCCACAGAGGCTCCTTATAACTATAAGTATGTCAATATAATCAACAGAATTATAAATAAGCTAACGTAAGTATAAGTTTGGTTAAAATCATTTTATGTTGTACCACTACTATTGATATTAGCATATATGTTACTATCTTTTTTCCCCTTTTTTTCGTTTTACTTTTGCAAAATGATATGCCCTGACAATACACTGTATTCAAAATGTTTATCTATGAGTTAAAAAAAAAGTTGTACTCAAAAGTCGTAAGTTTGAAAAATGGTCGTAAGTCACTTTTTTCAGCCCCATCGTAAGTTTGAACAGTCACTAAACGGGCCTGGTTAGTCTAGGGAAGGGAAGGACCAGAGGAGACAGGATAGCAGTCTTCCATTATTTGAGGGGCTGCCACAGAAAGGAGAAAGGGGGTCAAGGTATTTTCTAAAGCACCCAAAGGCCAGATAAGGAATAATGGATGGAAACTGATCCAGGAGAGATTCAACCTGGAAATAAGGAGGAATTTTCTGACAGTGAGAACAATCAACCCATGGCACAGAAGTTGCCTTCGGAAGTTATGGGAGCTTCATCCCTGGAGGCTTTCAAGAAGAGTTTGGATTGCCATCTGTCAGAAACGGTGTAGGGTCTCCTGCTTGGGCTGGGGGTTGGACTAGATGACCTACAAGGTCCCTTCCAACTCTGTTAATCTGTAAATCCATAATTCTGGCAAAGGTGAAAAGACAGAGGAGGCGGAGATGACCATTAGCAAGTTGGGTGGATTTAGTTTCAACAATGATGGATGACCTGAAGGACCTGGTTAGGGCCAGATCACCCAAGAAAAGAACTATTTATGTGGTCAGTGAAAAATGACATGGACTTGGGGGCACATCATTAATGGTACCTTCCATCTACATAAAGTTATATTACAAAAAAACACACCATATATTCAAATAAAGGCATTGTAGATTGGCTTAGGGGAGACACAGGGAAAAGCTGAACGTGTTTGAGTGACGCCATCAAAAAGGAGAAAAAAAATATGTGAATCATGCAGGGATGGGGAAGAAAACTAGCTAGTTGGGTCTAGTGGTTAAAGCATCATGCCAGAAAGCAGGAGATTGCGAGTTCTAGTCCCGCTTTAGGCAGGAAAATTAGCTGAATGACTTCGGGCCAATCACTAGGAGACAGTGAGTTCTAGTCCCGACTTATTAGCCATGAAATCCAGCTGGGTGACTTTGGGCCAATCGCCAGGAGACTGTGAGTTCTAGTCCTGCCTTAGCCATGAAAGCCAAATGGGCGACCTTGGCCCAGTTCCTCCCTCTCCGCCCAAACTACCTCACAGGACTGTTGTTGGGAAAACAGGAGGAAGGTGTGTTGGATGTTTGCCACCTTGAGTGATTTGTAAAAACAAGAAAAAGGGCAGGATACAAACAAACAAACAAATAAAATATAAATCCAGCAGAAGGAAGACCACAGTTGCCATGTTTGAACACAATTCAACCCACTCTCTAAAAAGCCATCCTCCTCCTCCTCCATCTGGAAACATTCCTTCCTTGCCAGGTTGAGGAAGCGTCAGGGAACTTACTCAGACGGGGGAAAGGCTCAAGAAGGCCAATTTACTCCTCCAATCCTTTAACCTCAAGCCTTCAGCATCTGTATTCTCTCCTGCTCAAACCGGATAAACAGCCAAGCCCAAAGCACGGATTTAATTCTTTCTACATCTCCATCCACAGCTACCTACCTACCTACCGACCTCTAAGACCAAGAAGCCACAGCTGGATGTAGTCTAGAATCCAATCTACCCTTCTGCCAGCCAATAACAATAATACCCTAATTCCTCATCTCTCTCTCTCTCTCTCTCTCCTTCTCTCCCTCCCTCCCTCCTTCTTCTCTCTGTCACTCTCTCTCTCCTTCTTTTCTGTCTCTCCTCTCTGGCTCTCACTCACTCTCTCTTCATCCCTCCCTCTCTCCCTTCTCTCTGTCACTCTTTCTCTTTTCTCTCTGTCTCTCACTCTCTCTCTCATACTCT